TAGATTGGTGTATCGCTGTCCATTGATGTCCGCACATAATGTTTTCACTGTAACCTCAGAGTTTCCGTTGGAATTCTATGTTAAGAAGTACATCCAAAGAAGATTGAAAACAATGCATCCGACTGATTTTGGATCTTCACTTTTCTATAATGATATATTTATTTGGAATGAGTTCTACAAAAGAAAAAACGATCATCTTGGCCAATTTTTTCGTTTGCGACGTGTGCGATCACTAATTGATCGACACGAGTCGTTCCTTTTGAAATGGTTGAGTTTTGTTGAAATAAATTAGTGCAGACGTGATATTCCTTTTTTTTGTTCCTTCCATTATATCAAGTCTTTCTTTACGAAGAGTAGTTCGCTTCATTCACTCGTTTTTTTTTCTTCGCTTCTGTTGTTGTTTTTTGTCTATGTTCTTCTCTATTTTATTTTATTTTTTTTTCGGTTGGGTTTTGTGTTTTTCTTCTTTTCTCTTCATTTTTTCTTCTTTTCGGTTCACATTCCTCAGTCCCTCTACCAGCATTATCAATTCATCAAGGCACCAATATTACAACAACAGCGAATTTTAAACGCTCAGCTTATATATGTTATATTTGATTTTAATGTCGCATAGTACTTTCCTTATATTTCATGTAAGCACTTCCGAGTGTTACATACGCCAGCAAAATAAAAATAAAAAAGAACTTCTTGCTTTGGTGAATTATCGGACACTGTTTAAAAGATGATCTTACCACCACGACCACGCGATATCAAATAAGATTATGACATTCCAAAGATGAACTGCGTTTTCGATTCTTAGGGACGATTACTAATTACAGATCGACCTCGTTGAAATTGACGAAATAACTATTGCAGACCTTCTAAAGTTTGTATTTATAATAAGCAGGAGTTGACAGTTATCAAGAGTAATGACAAGAAAAATGGTTAAGCAGGTCTATTTATTACCAAACTTTATTGTTTTTGTGTTGAAAGTAATTTGAATGTCTATGCAAAAGACTAGATACTAGAAAAACGATCGGTTCCCCGTATTTTCGGAATTTTCTTTTTCTTCCGAGTTTCGCCATTTGTGTATTAAATGTAGCATAGAGAAAAGAAAACAATATTGTAACTGACAAAAAACAACACGCCAAAGGGAAGATTGCCTTCATCATGAACATGTCTTTTTGATTCGCCAAAACTTCACATGGCATACGTAAATAACTGTGCCGTATCTGAGAGGCTTTCATGATTCTCTTTTTTTTCATCTGGGTGATTGCATCATCAAGTGGTAATGTGACCAAACTACATCGAATAGCAAGAAAAGAGAGAAAACGACAGAACAGCAGAACAAGTGAAAATGTTTCAATGGGAAGAAAGAAACATAATCGTTGTGTCACACACTCCTCAGTGTTACTTTTCTTGCAGTCTCCAAGCTTCTCACACATCTTGGACTGAAACATATATGCAGAATAATAGCGAATGCTGCCAATTACTTAAAGAAATCCCATCTTCTAACTAGTCAAGCTGTTGACTGATTACAATAGTATATTTTATTGTCAAAATAGCGCCATAGATAGGCAGTTTCAGACGGATGCGCACCACAAGGCATGCAAATTGTACTTAACCACCATTGGTTTAGACTTTCGACAAATTTTAGGAGCACGCTAGAGTGCCAATTTTCTTCTTCTTCAACTATTCCTTTCATTAATAGTACATTGTTAGTATTGTTATTGATACTTCGCATAGTACGGAAACAGTTTCAGCTCGTTATAAATCATGTTTTAAATAAGTTCCCTTCATTGAATCACAGGATTGAACCAGTTATTCGTATTTCTACGGTAACAAATATGTTTCTCCTTATCTGCGCCAACTATTGATAAGTTATGCGTTTTTTTTCTGTTCTGCTTCTGATTGTTTTTTTTACACGTGCGAGGTGTGTTTGCATTGCTTCTTCCTAATTTCTTGAGATCGCAGCTTTCATTTTTACCCACTATAAGGAAAATAAAACTCTTTGACGTCTTTCATACATTACTATGTCTACAGGTTCTTTATGTTGTCAGATCGTTTTCTCTCCTGATGCCTATGCTCAGTAGCATCATTCGATAAATGTAAACCAGAAAAAGCAGAATAGTGACTCAATATTCTTTTTCAGATTGATACCATGTCTTCAACACCGTTAAAAGGTGAATGTACGATATATGCATCACCAATGCAAAAATATGAGAACCAGGTTATCACCGAGTGTGGTCACGTATTTCATTATAAATGCGCCGTAGAACGTCTCGAAAAAAAGAAAAAGCTGTTAGCGCAATCCCTTGCGGGATTAAAAATGTGAAACACGATCGATCTATGGTTACTAATTAAATGGAAATCGTTTTGTTCCATTTCTTTGCGATACATTTGTAGCTAACCGTTTATCTGATGCTTTAGAACTACAGTTTCTCTGTCACGGTCTGTGATGAGTACCGGGGTTCTCTGTCGCGGTCTGTAATAGGTATGGTTTTCTCTGTCACGATATGTGGGAGGGGGGGGGAGTGGGTGCAAATTTCTACCCCTAAGCACTTCAACCAAGGGGGAAAAAGCTGATTTAAATCAGCTGAAAATCACCTAAAATCAATAAAAATCACTTAAAATCACTAAAATCACTTAAAATCAGCGAAAATCATTGAAAATCACAGAAAGTCCTCAATTAATTCTGAGCAGCTGTCGGTGATTTTGAGTGATTTTAGGTGATTTTGCTGATTTTGAATGATTTTTAGTGATTTTAGTGATTTCAAATGATTTTTGTGATTTCAAATGATTTTAATGATTTTAAATGATTTTAAATGATTTTTGATGATTCTAAATGATTTCAGTGATTTTCAGTGATTTTCAATGATTTACAATCATTTTGGACAGATTTAAAACACCTTATTCTCCGACTAAATCAGTGAAAATCACCTAAAATCACCAAAAATCAGCAAAATCACCAAAAATCAGCAAAATCATCTAAAATCAGCAAAATCACCTAAAATCGGCTAAAATCACAAAAATCACAAATCGCTTTTTCCCCCTTGACTTCAACACTCCTTTCAGATCGTGTTTCACAAAAGAATGACTGTCAAACATGCCAGAAACCAAATGTTATAGCGGATGCCATCAAAAACTTCCAAGCACAGACATCACTGAGTTCAAACAGAACCAGATCTCTAACACACGTAAATAATTGTACTTTATCTAGTCGAATACTCCTAGTTCTGTCCGGATGGCATTTTTTGTTGTTCATGATCAAGTTGGATCGTGGACGATTACTTCAAGTGACAACTAGATGATCAAGCACTCAAATATGATTCACAAAACATTATTCACATACTATTAGATCCATCCCAATCTTGACGAGATTCGCAATGTAGTGTTTTTTAATCATGTTCTCTAACACTGTTTGATAGACGGAAAGAGAATCATTTTGTCGATTTACTCTATAAATTCCTTAATGATGATTACTGTAATAGGCTGATTTCATGAAGCCCCACCACTAAAACTTCATTTATTGTAACTTACACTTCTTGAAGAGTGATCTTAGTGTGTTAATAACAAAAAAATCCCTTCAACCTAGCTAATCAACAGTTTTTATGAGTAACTTTCTCTATAGAAAGAAGACGAAGAAAGTATGGCTGCCGCTGGATCAATGGTTGTCACTGAAGACTCTATGGAAGATCATGATAATCAGAGTGAATGGTGGTGTGAAAACTGTTCCATGAAAAATGACAGCTCAACGAAGAGATGCGAACATTGTGGCGAATTGCGAGAAACCGTCTCAGACGCCGTATCCGAACGAGTCTTAGAGAAGGATATGAAACTAACAAAAGATTCGTCCTGCCCTCAAGAAGCAGATGTGTATGGTGAGTATACAGTTTTTATTTTGCAGCGATGTTGTCCGAAGACCATTTTTTTATGTTAAGATGGAAATGAATGAGTGTTCTCAAAGAAAAAGAAGATTTCAAAACTCTTCAGAATATTGTGCGAAGAAAGCAATAGCTTTCGAATATTATGAGCTTGAATTTAGTTCTGCGCTGTTTTCTATTAAGATCTTTAGTTAGTTCTACTTTTCACCGCCAGTATCATCAAAACATACTTGATTGAAGCTAGCATTTCATAGTGACACTTAACATTTAATCATTCATCATGAATTGATATATGATGAGACGCAGTATTTTTCAGTTTGTGGAAACCAAACTATTTTAGGGTTATGAAGAAAATTAAATCTGGACTGCCACGTTCTCATTAGTTGACTAATATATTAAACGATCATGTGCAAAATTTCTGTCAATTTTTAGGTATACGTGACTTGGGTTCCACAAGTATTTCAGCGAGTCAAAGGAATATTGACACCAGGAAATCGATAATCCCAGACGAAAAGCAAGAAGGTACTTTTAGGAATGAGTATTCACCAGGTGATCCTATGAATGAAAAGATTTCGAACTCATCATTTTCAACTAGTAAGCCATTTGGATCTCTTTCTGAGACTACTTAGTATGTATTTGTATTTGAATATAGATTTCTCGGAGTCGTCAACGTTAAAAGTAATATCCGACGAGCAACCTATATCTGAAAGAATGATGAATTCGCATCATAGCGAAGGATCACGGGGCAACCAAGCGATTATGTATATTACCAATTTACCAACCAATATTGATCATAGCTATACACTGGAAGACCAGATTCGTCATCGTCTTGAAGCAATCTGCCAAAAAAGAGTAGGCGACGTTCAATGTTATCCAGAGCTCGGTGTAGGTCTTGTTCGTGTAGACAGTTACACGACTAGAGATTATTTTGTCAATACTCTAGGAAGCATTACATTAGATCCACGAGTCGATAAGCCATTGATTTCATTTGTAGCTGAACTAAATTTCATCTCCTATATCGTCGTGAAGACAGACACAAGCAAAAAAGATCTTGTTCTACCTAACGCTGAAGAGATCAGTCGTCGATGGAATGAAACATATAAGATACAACCAGTGAGGAGATGCGAAATATTAAACATGCAATACCCCAACTTTTTTCGAGTTATTTTGACATCATTCGATGAACTAATTCAAATGAGACGTAATCCAGACTTCAGAGTCAAAGATTTACTGGCTTTTGTCTATGTTTATCCTGATTGTAGTTATCTAGAAAATTTACCGCGATCTTTAACAGAGGAACGATTGCGTGAAATCATTAGTAAAGCAATTGGAAAGTCATCATTGTCATCTTCGCTTCTCTATATTCAAATCAACCGGAAAACAGGTAACGCATGTATACTAGCTACTGGCCTAGGAGCTGTTTGGTCAGCGCAAAGTTTCATTATGATCGACGGTAAAACATTTTCAAGGAAGACCAGTCTTACATGTCGTGTTCGTATATATCCTGTTTCTACATCGGCACTACAACGTACAATTCTTGATTGCTCAGAGTTAGCGGGCAAAGTTCTTCATAATCAATTGCAGGGGACCAATCTTATTCTTGAATTGTCTGACAAAACAAAGTTTGACGAACTCATCACACGTGGCGCTATTCGCATCAGTGATCAACGCTGCTTTCATGTCGAAGCTCATCACGCTTCATTTCTTGGTAATTCTAATGAAATCGATGAAAACAGTTGGTATGAAACGGACATGCTACAAAACCCAGCAGATATTATGCCATTCGTTGCAGATCCAAAACATGTTATCTTTGATTACGAATGGAATTCACAGATATGGCTTCAGCAATTTCAACGTCTAGCTAAGGAAGATATTCACTCAAACAGCAGATATGTTCAAGATCGATGGGGTTCATCGAATGATCAAATTCGACACAAACTACGAGTGACAGTAATGTTAAATACATTAGGGGTGGTTCGAAAGCAAAGCTATAGAGTTAATGGTCAAGAAGTAAGGCTGAATATTGATAATTCGATGAAGACGATTGTCTACGATCATCGATCCAAGTTAGGACAATGTGGCAAATTACCAATTACAAAAACACCCTATCGTAGTACTCGTGTTGATGTTGTCAACAATGATTGCCTTCTCATTTACGAGCAACTAGTTAGTAACGGGTGCAATCCACTTCTTCTCAACATGGCCAATGCTTATACTCCTGGAGGCGGATATCGAAAGGGTGACGGTGCACAAGAAGAGAACCTATTTCGACGCTCAGACTATTTTCGAAGTCTCGATGTTCCGCTGGATCAGTTGTTACCACGTGTCAGTCAACGTTTTCATTGCTCGTCATCTGGCCAACTTAATTCTCTCGCTGACTCAACCAAGATGTACCCAATGAGTGAGTTTGGTGCCATCTATACGTCCGGTTTGACGGTTTTCCGTCAACCTGAAACAACAGGCTATGCTTTTATGAACAAACCACTTACAAGCGTATGTTCATTGGCAATGGCTGCTTATCGGGACCCTAACTTAGAGGGTGATCATTTGTCTGCAAAGTATGCTGCTGCAACACGAAAGAAGATTGAAAATATATTCGCTATAGCCTATCACAATAAGCATGATAGTCTTGTATTGTCAGCCCTGGGTTGTGGTGCATTTAGGAATCCACCATATCACATTGCAAGACTGTTCGTCTCGGTAATCGATCAATATGCTGGATTTTTCAAAACAATTGTTTTCGCTATTCTTGATGATCATAACACCGGTAACCATCTAAATCCAGACGGTAATTATCAACCATTCAAAGATATTCTGGACGCAATGGTAGCGATTCCGTTAGCACCAATGAATATTACCAACACAATGTTCGGTCCATATCGGCTGATGTCAAACGATTTATCTGTCAGTGATGTTTGTATATTCGACAAGACACCATGTAAATATGGCGGTAAATGCAGTAATGCCCATAATAAAAAGCATGCACAAGAGTATTCTCATCCACCGCTGTGTCCACATGCGGCTATCAATAAAAAATGTGAATTTATGAAAGATCCTGTTCATTTGAGTTCCTTTGTACATCTCAGTCAATGTCAATATGGTGGCAAATGTAGGGCAATTGATGATGAAGAGCATAGCAGACAATACGAACATCCATCGTATTGTCCGAATGGAGGTGATTGTTCTAATATGAAAGACGAACACTTGAAACAATATCGGCATTTACCTCTATGTCCACAGGGTCAAAATTGTCTCAAATATCAAAAACATGCCATGCCACATTGTAAGGAATTTCGTCATTGTGCTCTCGAATGTCCACATGGAAATCATTGTGCGAATGTTCATGATAAGAATCATCAAGAAACATTTAAACACCCATTTCCAACACCATGTTTAATGACTCCATTCCACTGTGATATGTACTTTGAACTAATGATGGCTACAGACCGTAAAAGTCTTTTGCAAGAAATACATACTCATTGTCTGCATTATGCTCACGTATGTCCCTTTGGCCGACAATGTACCGATCGAATGCCTCTGCATCAAGAAAAATCAATACATATTGCTCGGCGTTTATGTCCGAACGGTGAAAAATGCCATCAGCTTAGGGATGAAAATCATCTCAATACTTTTACACACCAAAACATTGACGATATTCGTCGAGTTTGCAAATACGAGGACGAATGCCATGATCGTCACAAACTCGATCACATTATTAAATATCGACATCCAGTGGAAAAAGAATTCAGTGGTATTTTGCTTTTCTGTAACTTAAATAAGAAAACGAATTTTGTTGATAACCAAAAACGTATGATTGATGCTATCTCGTCTTATGTTACACGTAATAATTGGAAACCACTGCCGTCAGGAAAAGTTCCACGCGAGATCATTACTTGGCTGCGTACGGTTCAGCCAGTTCATCGATGTAATCCCATCATATTTGAGTCGATTCTTTTACACGGACATGTCATGAGTCGAGAATATATGGAAAACTTGAAGTATCCAAAGTTCGTTGCTAACTCGATTTTGCAACATAGTCGAATCAGGCGTATACAAGAGTTACAGGAAAAATTCACTGCCAAACAAGCAAAGGATTTCATCACTGCTCTGGTCATCCAATACTTTGAAAGTCATGGATTTAATCCTAGCGCAACGGCTACGCCTGTTATTGCACCAGGTGGTCTTGTAGTACCAAAACCCACTGTCGATCATGGTGCGTACTATTCGAATGAGTTATCGATGTTAGAAGCATACTTTTCCAAGATATTGCAAGGCAAGGACTTGAAAGCTATAAAAGAAAAAACTGAACAGATCGCCGAGGCTTCAATGAAACTGAACGCAAATCCGTCAGGTATTGGTTATGATCAAGACAAATGTCTTGGAACAGACAAAACAGTTTTCAGCATCCTTGGACCGCACCTGGGACACTACTATGGAGATATATTTATTGTTTTTAAACGAGAAATTCTTCATCATCCAGATGCCAATTTCACAATTCAAGCAGCTACTTCGTTTACTACTGGAAGTGCATTCATCACTCGACCATGGCTTGGTACCGATCCTGGTTCGATTCCTGAACGTGTCAAGCTTTACCGCGGCTCGAAATTTAACGCATCGATTCCTGGTTATGATTACGCTGTTGCTCTCGAGCTAATTGCTGTTACAAGTCTCGGCTTGAAGAAAGAAACCATGGATATTGATTTTGATCAAGTTTTTGAGCGTTGGTTTCAAGCTGATTCACATCTAACGCTTGAAGGGCATCTGCCACAGTTGATTCCGTTAGATTATATTGATCATGTTTACATTCCCAATAATTTATATAACACTCTCAGTCATGCATCACAACGGGCTATCAATGCTAACTTCAAACACCGCATTACTGTGATAGATCATGATGGAGAAACTAATCAGCCACATGGACCACGTGGTCCAAAGCCATCATCGAAATCTCGACAGCTTTATCAAGAGTCTGTCGTTAAGGACTTGCACAAACGATGTATAGAACGTATGAAAAATCCACCGCCAAGACCCATCCGCGGTACTGCAATCACGCTTGCATCAGTGGACTTCACAGATCATTATGTGTTACCCATTACTATTTCGCAAGCCTATGATCAATATTGCTTAAGTAAAAAACATCGACCACCACACAACAGTTTTATTATTTACTGGCAATCCATTGGTGGAGACATGATGTTGACACTCTCTAATGAACCGATTGAGTCTAGAGAAAAGCAGAAATATCTTCGTTGCTTGACTTGCTATATTGCACCTAAACCATCGGTCTCTCAAGGCTCTTACCACGAACATTATTCTTATTTGGACCATCATACTCCTTTTCAACATCACATTCGAAGGGAACGTGGTCAGTTTGATGCCAAGTCGAATCACTTCTATCTGGGCTGTAATACCGATGATCTGATGACATTTGCATTGGAAGTTCAACGCATGGATGGTACAGTCACACTCAGTCATGCTGGTCCTAATGCCATTTATAATCAAGAGAAGATATCGCATACATTCGATAAATATGAGCTTGATTTGACAAAATTGAACTTTGTTCATGTAAGCTCCAGCGCTCAAATAGTAACTATACGCAACTTGATGATTTGTTTTGAAAAACAAGTCGATTTGCATCCCACATTTGACAAGCATTTTGAAAAAGAGTCGTCTGCATCCGGAAAGCATGATAACCATGCTCGGCATGAAGCATCAGCTATCCAGAATGTCGATGATTTCCATAAGGAGAAGGGCTTGGCAAAGTATTGGCACAAAGCAAAAGATATTGTTCTTGGTGATAAAAGATCCACATTGATTCCATGTCAAGATAATGTTAATTGTCTTCTTCAACATTCTTCAAAACATCAAGAAGAACATAATTCGAAATATTCTCATCCATGTCGTTTCTCGGAGCTCTGTAAGGACAAAGAGCCACATTTTACGCATGAACCTCATCGAGTACTGATGTGTAAACATGATAAGAAATGCACTCAACTCGATGATGCGTTTCATCGAGCTGCATATCGTCACACAGATTTACCTGACTTTCTTGTTCCGTGTCGTGATCAACGCACGTGTCATGACACATCAAAAACTCATCGAATCAAATTCTCGCATGGTGAAGACGTCTATCCCAAAACGTCGATAGCAAAGCAGGGTAGGAGGCGTCCATAGAGAGAAGTTATTATTCAGGATTCTTTGTTTTAAGAAAGTCACACAGATTCGCCAGCTGCAAGACAAGGAAAAAAAGATGGACGAGCATCCTGTCAATGGGGTTCCAAATGTCGAGATATCACTAATGCTCAGCATCGTGCCGAATATTCTCATGAAACGGATGGCCCATCGCATGAAGGACCATGCAAATATGGTGCTACTTGCTATGATAACAGTTCATATCATCGAGCAAGATTTTCGCATCACAGCAAGCAGTAATAGAATCCATTCAACTAAACACAGTCAGGCACAATCGAATGCTTACGTTTTTGGACTTATTGTAGTTTATCAATTATTCTACAGATACCTTGAGATAATTCTTGAAAATTTTCCTAGTAAATAAAGTGTTCACGTAAAAATATCTGTGCCTGTGTGATGGTGTGAGATGTTGCTTCACTTGAGGGTGTGGGTGTGGGTGTGGGTGTGGGTGTGGGTGTGGGGTGTGGGTGTGGGTGCGGGTATGTGTGTGGGTGGGGTGCGGGTATGTGTGTGGGTGGGGTGTGGGTATGTGTGTGGATGGGGTGTGGGTATGTGTGTGGGTGGAGGGTGGGTCTGGGTGTAAATCTATTTCTTATCGTCCACTCCCATACCCACAATCCACACCCACACCCACACCGACACCCACACCTACACCCAAACCCACACCGACCCACACCCACACCGACACCCACACCTACACCCACACCTACACCCAAACCCACACCGACCCACACCCACACCCACACCCTCAAGATAGTTTTTATGATCGTTTTATGCGTTTATACGCGCCTACAAGCGTTTTTTGCTGAAAACGCGTTTAAACGCACAAAAAGGGCAAAAAGTGGTTGTTTTTCACTGACATTTGGGAACCGCGATTGTGAGCTAAACACGTCCACTTTTTGTGGATCTTAAGCCCTCTTTTCGTGCGTTTAAACACATTTTTGAAAATGTTTGTCTGCTTGGGTGATAACGGCCCGTTACCTTTCTCGGGTAACTGATAACTGTCCCGTTACCAGTTACCGGATAACTGGTAATTTTTCCATTAGCAGTTAACCAGTAACTGATAACTTTTCCGTTACCTTTTCCGTTACCAGATAACGGTCTGGGAACGGTAACTTTCCAGCCCTAGTTAAAATAGCTTTAAAATTTTTTTAAAATGAATTGTGCGTCAACTTGGCTTCGTCCGTTAGAAATGCGAGACAACTGAATTGTTTCTTCAGCGAGCTCTGTTTATTCTGTTGTTGGGTCGTATTCTGTTGAAATAATAAAACAGCAACTTCGAGTATGTTGTTGCATTTCAAAGCAAAGAAAGGAAGCAGCCAATAACAGAGCCGGATGTGAGAGTAACTTTCTTCGTAGTGAGAATGAATTTATTGAATCATTTTTATAGGTTTTATTATTTTGTTGACAATTGCGTTTTGAAGACGGAGAGCACCGTTGGTGAGTTTTTTTCAAAGCCCGACATATATTTTCATTTATTTGAATATTTTGCAACAGTTTTTAAAAAATATTAAACAAAAAAATGGTACATAATGGAGCGGGGGCTATCAGTAACCTTCTAATACAACTTGTCGGGTCAAATCTATTTGACCTAATGAATGAAATAGAATAAAATAAGAAAAAAAGCTTGTTAGCGCAGCTCCTGCGGAGCTGAAATGTGAAACTCACGTATACCTTTAGCTTTGTTACCTGACGCATCATTTGTATACTGAAAGACTTCTCGTCAACTATAGTTGTTTTCCTTGAGAATCGATGAAAAGAGCGGGAATTTATTATTTATTTGTATATTAAAAAAATATATTAAAAAAGAAAATATTGTTTTT